TCTCTTCTTTTCTCTTCTTTTCTTCTCTTCTCTTCTCTTCTCTTCTCTTCTCTTCTCTTCTCTTCTCTTCTCTTCTCTTCTCTTCTCTTCTCTTCTCTTCTCTTTTATTTTCATTGCAACCTTCTCTATTTTTCATCCATGTGGCTATTCCAGGGGTCAGTAAAGTGGTGACTGTGGACATTAAAGGGAACTGGCAACGCTGGCTAAAGGTCCGAGATCTTACCAAGGGCATGACCTATTTATTCAGAGTGCAAGCCCGAACCATTGCCTATGGACCTGAACTGCAAGCCAACGTCACAGCTGGGCCAGCAGAAGGTGAGTGGAACCATAAAAACATGGCACGAGCTGGATCAGTGATGCAAATGCAGCCCAATAGCAGAGAATAGCACACTCAGGGTTTAGCGTGGGTTTCTAAGACAAGGAGAAGCTGAATCACAGGAGCACAGCGTGATTTGGTAGATTTCACATCTGCACATGAAAAACATCTTCCTTTTTATTTCTAGAAAGCTAAAAGACTGATGTGAATAAACAGAACAGTGTGAATAAATCATAGTGCAAACTGGCTACCTAGGGAATTCAAAGCTACATCCATTGTGGTTCAGCATTCTGGTTGGTGTGCTATCAAAGGAGTCCAAGCAGGAATGGTTCTGCCTAAACCAGTAGAAGTTCCTGGGTGTAAAAACAGGAAGAGTTTACAGTTATTTCTTCCTGACACTTTGGCTTATGCACAGGGAGATGTCTGCGGATTTCCTGACATGCCAAGAGGCTGAATTTCAGCATTCCCTGCTTGGTTCAATGTGTGTCCCGAAACAGTTGGTTTTCTTATTTGATCAGTGATAACAGATGCCAGATAATCATAACAACTTAAATTCCCTCCAATTGTATCAGTTTTCCCTCTTTCCTTCTTAGCAGACACACTTGTATAACTAGTGCCAGTAAAAAATTAGGCCAGCATCTTATTGAGCTGGTTTATATTGAATATATGTTGGCCAGTACTCCTGGATTATTTCCTCTATCAGGAGGAGAAATGCAGAATACTAAAGTACATTTCTAGTAACACCTAACATTTGCTGTTGTCATTTAATCCTCCAGGGTCTCCCGGCTCCCCTCAGGAAATTCTAGTGACAAAATCTGCTTCTGGGCTGACGGTACAATGGACTGAGGGGGATTCTGGAGAAAAACCCACAACCGGGTACATTATAGAGGCACGGCCCTCAGGTAAGCCATGGGAATCATGGAGAGCTCGTTGTCCTCAGTTCCCATATTCAGCCCATGCTGAAACCCACCTTGCAGTGGAGATGCTTTTTCTCTTCGCAGTGAGCTACCGGAATTTTGTGATTTGTTACATGGGTTATCATATTTCCTCCTGTTTAGGCACAGTCACAGGAAATTACCCTAATTGCTCTAGTTTCCAGTGTGGTACATCACTGGTAAATCATCCAGCTGATGAACCAATACAGTTAATAATTAAAACTCACTTAAATGTTTACAGCATCTTTCACACACAAGGACTTAAATGCTTGCAAACTGCTTTTCGAGGACCAAAAATCTATCGTTCAGCAGCAGAACACAGCAGTTAATCTCTGTTAATAGCCAGACCAGGACCACAGCAGTGTGCATGCATAGCTACCCTGTTTGTTCTGCAAGGAGGGCATTAGTGGACGAGAGGAGGTTCCTCATCACCACTGTTTCTCTTGGTGCTTTCCCAGAGCTCCTTTGCTCCTGGCAGTTACGTCTAACTGAAGTTACCCTCTGCTTTATCCACAGTATTTTCCCAGCTGGAGAAGACGGTTTTAAATTGAGGCCTTTGCTCCGGCTTGTTTGCAGCCTCTCCCATCTTGGTACCCCCTTGCCAATTTAACAAGCATGCACTTTGTGGTAGCCAAGCCATTAACAAATCAGCGAATACTGCCAGACCCCTGTGTAATCTCACTTGATAAATTCCCTCCACTCTGACAGAAGTGCTGATAGCCATTCTCCAAGTACAGTTTTCCAGCCGTTGATGCATCTACCAGATACTTGTTTCATGTGGGCCATGTTTGAATGTCATGATGTCAAAAGCTTTGCCGAAGTCAGGATAGATGATGTCTGTTCTTTCTCCTCTATTGATAAGGTCTGCTACCCTGTCACAGGAGGAAATTAGACATGATTTATACTTGACATACCCATGTTGGTTGCTTGTTCTTTGCTTTTTCACTTTCAGATGCCTGCACGCTGCTTGATTATATATTGATTAAGTTAATGCTTATCTGTTCAATTATATAAAGGATCTGAACTCTCTCTTGTATGTGTCTTGAATGTAAGACTACATTTAAAACCAATGATTATAATTGTATTTAACTGGACCGATAACAAAATTGTTGTGATTGTTGATGAAGCTGCAAATTTCCATACTTGCCTTTGGTAGAACTTGTTCTGTAGTGAGGCTGTGTGGGGACCCCAAAATTCTGTCATTTAACATGATCTGTTGTGTTGATTTTCTTCAAAACAAAGTGAAGGAAAATGTGTACATTCTCAAAGCACTGGAATTTCACACTGATCTCAGGTGGTTGTTTTTTTTTTTAGAGAAGGCATGTCACCAAATTCTTCCATTTGCCTTATATCAGCTTTTTGATCCCTGCTCTGTTTTCCTCATAGGCAGAAAAATGCTCTCTCTCATATTTGAACAGTGTTAGTAAGTTAAACCAAAACGGTTCACTGAGGTTTGCTTCCCAGCTTACATTTCCCCAAACAGGGTTTTTAGAGTAAGATTGTTTCAGAGGGAAACCTGTACCCCTTGTTCACATCTGTGTGAGCTGCAGCAACGCAAACCCACCTGATGTTCCTGGATCTGTCTCACCTGTGGATGTGCACAAACACTTCACAGTTCCCGTCTAAGGATATAGGATTTGTGGTTCACTCTTTTTGAGCAGGAAGAAAATAGCCCTTCCAAGGCAGGTCTGAGCTGCATTAACCCTGGGTCATTCCAGCTGGCCTCACGCCACTGATCCTGGAAACACACAGAAGGGATCTTATACTCTTGCTCTTGCAACCTGACTGTTGAGGCATTTAATTCCTCCTCAGATTATTTTAATCCTATTCATGCTGCTGTAGCAAATGAACTAGCCATTTGTATGCTGGATTCTCACCCTTAGTTCTGGTTGCAGCTGTAGAAAGCGTGAAATGTGATCCAAGAGAGGAGAGGACTAATTGGAGCACTTGCTTATTTCACGCAAGTGGCAGCTTCTTTTCACTACTGCTTTTCTTCCTCATCTCTGCATGGAAGAGTTTGAAATCTGAATTATGAGCTTAACAAAGGCAGGAGACTAATTCCTCCTGTCAGGGCTGGCCATTCAGAGCCATTTCTGTTTTAATATAATTCTATGAATTTGCTTCTGCATGTTGTTTTGTGTGTGTAGTAGAACATGGATTGGAGCAACCTTTATTTTTTAGTTGTCCAAGAGAATAGCAATTGACTCTTAATCAAGGAAGGAGAAGATATTCATTCTTTTGAGCTCAAAAAAAGGGACATTGAACAGACAGATGAAAAGCTTTTGCTTGTTGCCAATATTTAAATGCAATACCACTACCTTGGTATTTCACATCTCAAGTGTCATCTATTATAGGCCTCATTACCCCAAACGTTAAATGCTGTATCATCTCATTTTCCCTGCTGTAGCTCCCTGCCAAGACTCTTCCATCAGAGTACGAGGGTGGCTTTCTGTCATAAATGGCAAACTCTACCTGCTTTTGTCACTTCCCTTCAAATTTTTCAGTGCCCTGCTGTGTTTCGCAGGCCTCCAGCTGCCCTGCTGGGTTTAGCAATGGTGGCAGCAGGCAACTGAGATTGTTCATTTCATTTCCCCATTTCTCTCCCAGATTTATGGCAGGTGACCAGGCTGACTGTCTCCTGTGCATTTTGAATATACTTAGACACCAGCATGGAGCAGGCAAACCAATATTTTTTCCAGAGCTATCTGTGCTAGAGGAAGGTATTACAGAAACAGAAGAGTTTCTTTTCCTTCAACTCATCTGTCCCTGGAGAAATGGATTCCAGTTTAGCTCCTTTTGCATTACAAGAAATGCAATTAAGCGGCCTGTGTCACTGCCATAGAAAGCACTCCCTAGACATCCACTAGGCTGGCTAAGAAGTGGGTATTAGATCACATCCTTTGTTTCTACGTGCCGAACAGAAGACAGAAATGGCACATCAATGTAAAGGTTCCCAGCACTGCTGATGGAGCGGAGAGGATGAGTTTGCACCTCTTCTCCCAACCCACATCGTCTCCAAGCCTCCTTTCTCCACACTGTGCTTTACTTTTGGGCATGCGTCCTGTAAAGCATGCAGCAGTGTCATACAGGCTTTCCTCCCCATTTATCCCCTTTCTGCAAAGCATGTGTTTCTGCCCCATGGCCTGGGGAGCCATACTGCCAGGAGTACACATCCACATGTAGGCTTCATGCACATTTTGGCCTGCTGTGGGCATCTCAAGGTGCAGGACAGCCATGCAGGGCTCAGTCTCTTCTCTGTAGCTCAGGAGAGCCTCTGAAGCAGGACTAGACAAGATTTGTGTCCTGTTGTGCTTGCTCTCTCCCCACCATGCCTTTTGGGTTTTGTTGGTTTGTTTTTCCCAAGTAGTGCATGACTTCGTCCCAGTGGAAGAGAGTTGTAGCTTAATAATAAAGCCAATAATTAACCTCTAGCACTCTGGCTGGCATGAACAGTCTGGATGCACTGCAGATCAGCCACACATCATGAGTTCAGGATACAAACAGCTCTGGGGAGTGTTTTCTTTTGTTGCCCTGGATGATCTGTTCCATGAAAACAACAGAAGAACTTGTCTTTGGACAAGGGATTGTCCTTCCCACGAACGCTGGTTTTCACTTCCCACACCCCAAGGGCAGATCTCACTTCAGTTTTCTTTCTGGTGTCTTGAGAAATGTTGTTGTTGTTTTCTTCCTTTTCTATTTATTTTTAAACAAATGAGGGAGTGCAGTGTCAAACGTGGACACAAACCAGCAGAAGTCAGTAAATTCAAAGTGAAGGCTGCAGCTGCATTGCCGGCATCTGCCATGGGGCCTTTGATTCTCTTCTGCTCACTAGTAACATGCTGAGGTTGACAGTTAGTCAGCCTTCACTTCCCATTCTTGTCCTTCCCTTAGTTTGCATGATAATCCATCCCTTTGCCTCCGACAAATGCTTCCACATTTTAATTTTGGCCTCCTAGGAGGAATACTACTCGAATTCAGCAAGTCCTTAATTCTCAGCTGCTTCTCCCTTCATAAACCTGCTAATGTGTAATTAGGAGAAAGTTTTACAGCACAGCCCTCCTCTTTCTCCGAGGGGAAAGGCTGGTGCTTAAGACCCACATAACTGACAGCTTTCCATCTCTCCAGCTGCAGCACAGCAGTCATTTGATAGCAGGCAGAGTTAGCAGAGCCAGGAGCCCTCGTTACTGCATGATAGCTTTATACAGACCCCAATTAACTCCCCATGAAACCAGACTTGCATGTAGCTGCTGTGCCTCACCACAGTGGTCAGCACCTGGCCACGAGGGTGCCCAGTCTGCAAATGGGGAAGGTCAGAGATGGCTTTGCCTTCCCTGACATTTGGGTCAACCATGAATTAATACCCAGATAGTATCCCAACCACAGCATGCTCATCCTTCCTCCCAAAACTGAGTGGAAAATGCTGTGTATGGTATACTAATGATTTTCTACCGAACTTAAAGGCCAATCTTCACTACCAAGGTGGCCTTCTAATGAATTCTCTTTCAGCTGAACTTCTGACATTTAGAGCCCACCTGGTTTTAAGGGAGGAGGAAAAGATGGGTGAATGAATTCATAGGTTTGTGTTCAATATTTAATTGCAGAGCTCACTACTGAAACAAAACGTCTTTTTTAGTTCGGATATATCTGATTGCAATCTCTGTCTATGAAGACAGGCCTGAATATTCTGGAGAGAGATTAGATAAATTGAGGCTCTGTAATTAAAAGTTTTGTTGGTCAGAGCTGGAGAAGCCACAAACTACCTTGTGAATAACAGCTCCTTGGAGCAGCAATGAGAAAGACATCCTTACTGCAAGCTTTACAGAGTGGTTAAATTTCAACTTTCTTGGTCTGTTGGAGATTCTGCACTGTGCACCTTGATAGGTTTGAGAAAATAAGCAAGGAAGTGTATGTGAACAGTTGTGTTTGTTGCAATGAGCGTTGAACATTCATTTTTACTGTTGCTTTCTCTTCCCCCATTTAAGCAGCTTTCATTGTAAACAAATTGCTTTTCTGACAATTCACAAAGGGCTCAAATTCTCTTATTGCTGTTTACAAATGTGTTTATGAAAGCTCAGGCAATTCTAGCAATTATAGCAATATTTTATAGTCTGAGATGCATCTTCTTAGTATCGGTGGCTGTGACAATCTAACTTGGAAAAAGCATCCCTCGCTCCACCCTTTTCAGATCAGCTAAATCCCAGGCCCCCTTTTTATCACGTTGTGAGTTTACGTGGTAGAAATAATCCAGCCTTCAACTGCCCTGTAAAAGAGAAGTCAATATTTTATCTCTTGTTTTATAGCCGTTGTAATATCCAACTAATACGTAACAATGGTATATTATGATAACTTCATTATACTCTGATCGTGGTGGTGAATAATGCATTGGTCTGAATTTTAAGCCTGACAGACGAATTACCTATTTTTATTGTTTCTTTAGTGTTTCTCAAATGTAGCTGGAACAATAACATTTCAGCCTGCTTTCTGCATCCACTGAGACTGCCAATCCTCATGATCAGAAAAGAAGTAGTTTGGGGGTTGTTAGTCATTGTGTGTGTTGCTAGATGTGCAGCACGTTCAAATCACCAAACCAACATTTACTGATGCCAAAGTTAAAACGTTCACATGGAAATGCACCTGCAGTGTTAATCAATCCATCTTTGCTGTTATCCCCTGTTGCACAGAAGTAGGCTAAGGGCCAGATTGAGTTCTGTTACACCAACACAGCTTTGGAATTGCTGCAGTGTCTCCAATTAGTTCTCACTTGGGTAAATGCAAAGCAAATGAGAACAGATTCTGGCTTCACACTGCAGCAGCGGAACAAGTTGCTAAGGGTAGTGCTGCTGGCTCCTGTTTTATTGTTACCTTGATAACACCTCAAGCTACAGGAGTCCTGCTGATGCTTGGATCTTGCAGTGCAGAGGGCTTTCTTTCAAAGCTCCTGTACTGGAATAGTATCTATGCAGAGGTTATCACAGCCTTCCTATTGCTGTAGGACATACAGAGAAAAACAGACATTGCCTGAACAGCTTTGATAACTAAAAGTAGAAGTCTGATCAGGTCAAATCCTTAAGAGCTGTGCTGGCTGAGGCTAGCTGAGAATTTGGCACCATGTGTAGGCCGTAACTTCATTTTGTCGGTGGAAGTGCTGGGCACCAATTGTTGCTGATATGCAGTCTAGTTAGATTAATGTTTGATTCCTGCACTCAAAATTATTGACTGGCATCTTTAATTATAGTTGGTTTTGTTCTTACTGGTAGCAGCATCCGTCTAGTTGAAAGTTCTTTCCATTGAAGTCAAGTGAAAGTAAGGTTAAGGGTACGGATCAGGGACTGGAACGGTGCCTAGTCAGGATGCGCATCAGGATAAATGTCAGCATGGCTGCAGAGAGCTGAGATTACCCTACTGAAACGCTCTCATCAGTTATGCAGAAGGCATCGTGTTTCCCGAAACTTTGAAAGCTTTGTAATGCAAACAAAACCTCGTTCCTGCTTAAAAATATATGGCACAGAAATGCAGCGCCTGCTGCCTCACTCCACGGGCTGTGCCACACTGCAGTCCAGCCCATACAAAGGACACTTCTCCATTAATGTTGAGAACCAAGCAGCACTCCAGTAGCACTATTCCACTGGAGGACCAGATCTTGCAAGGCCACAGTGCTTCTGCCAAAACCTGAATCTGACATTGGTTTGTAAAACTTAGCCTACACACTTGGATAGCGAAGTCACTTTTGCAAAGTGAAAAGCAGACAAAACCTGTGCAATTAGGACTCATTAATGTAGCAGGTTGCTCTGGGCTTACTTGCTCCGTCAGATAACAGGCATGCAGATGCAGTGACCTCACCCTGGCAGGAGGGACCCAGATGGTTGGCAGCTGCTCCAGCCAGCTTAGGTCACCACAGGTGCTGCTGCAGCTTTTAACAGCCGTGTCTCCCAGCTGGGCTGTTATGACACCCCCATCACGAGTAAATCCTTTTACAGATGAGGTCTTGCAGTGCATTCTGACATTTGTGCATATCTCTAAGCAGCCTTCAGGTAAGCATGTCCACTGCCTGTGGTGGAAGCAACACAATTAACGACAATTATTTTTCACAATCAAAAGGAAATGCCAAGTCACACAGTTAATGCCATCCCTCTCCTCGCTGCTTTCCCAGATGAAGGACTGTGGGACATGTTTGTGAAGGACATTCCTCGCAGCGCTACCTCCTACACCGTCAGCCTGGACAAACTCAAACAGGGTGTGACGTACGAATTTCGGGTGGTGGCTGTCAATGAATTTGGCTACGGAGAGCCAAGTGTTCCCTCTGTGGCAGTATCAGGTAATCATGTTTGTGTGATAATGCTTTCCAACAGATTTTCTTACTGGAGGTGGAGGAGGAAGAAAAAATAAAACAAAACAAAACCGGCTTCTCATGTTACAATAAAACACCAAGGCCAGCTTGTTTTCGCTTGTTTCAGGGCAAAATGTTGTTGAGAATTGTTATTTTAGTATGCTCCACTCTCAACGGGAAGAATAAGCTTGTGCCATTTTTAAGCTTGGCAAAGAACCTTCTCAGGAAGTTTGAGAGTGTGTTTACACATAAGATTTCTTGCCTTAAGACTAATTTACAAAGTCTACAATTTGTTTGCTTTTTCTCCTTCCTCCTCTCCAGGTCTGTTGTTTTGTTTACTCTGCTTTCTTTTCCCAAGGTTCTGTGATAAGCACTTTGTGTGTTATTTTACATTTAGCTCTCAAGAATGCAGTCTGACAAAACTACTCATTATATCCTCTGTGCTGGCAATTCCAGCACACTGTGATGCCCCCATTCCCATTCAACACGACAGATTGGTGGTGGCACTCATGGACTCTTCCCACCCTTCCCACTCTATTATGATAATTCCCAGTAAAGAGGGCTAAATACGCTTCCAAAGTCCCTTTGAACAAGGCAGCACTCTGATTTCCTGAAGGAACCTTCAGTGCCTTGAAAAGAAACTTGCAATTCCACTCAGCTTGCCATGCTTGGACAGCTTTAGTTCAATGGGCTGTTGTGAAGTGGGAGAGAGCTTGCCCTTGTAAACATCTTGCTCAGGTCTCCTCTTACCCTTGCAGAGAGGGCTGTACTCCAGGTTGCTTTTGAGCAACAGGTTGCGTCCTTGCTGCGTCAGCAAAGACGGATGAGGAATAAAAGAACCTGAAAAAATGTCTTTGTGATTCAAAGTTCTGGAGAGTCCTGAGAACCTGGCAGTGCTCCAGTATCTGGAGTGGCTTTTATCTCTTTGCTTCTCGAGTGAAAAGCATAAACACCATTCAGTGGTTACCCAGCAGGCAGGAGCAGTAAATGCTGCTATCGCCATCACGGCTGCATTTGTCCTTACACAATTAACCACTTAGCCTGAGAGCTGTCTATGGATTTCAGTGTGAGTGCTACCCTTGCTTTTCTCCTTCAGGACAAGGGCATAGACAGCCCACTTCAAACACCAAGAGTCAGTGTTTTTCCTATCTGTGGTTTCACAGAGGCTGTAGCACAATGTAAGGGGTCAGTGATCATGTCAGTCTTTCCATTCCCAGAAGACATTATTCCCCTGAAGCCGGACACACAACCCCTTCTGATGCTTTTTATAAATAAACTGCTTGTTTGTAAGTTCTCCACTTGAACTGAACTATTTAATTCACCTCCTTTTGATGCTTCAGTATTCATCTCAAATTGCTGCATGAAAGTAAGAGGTTTCCGTTGAGATTCCCAGCCATGAAAGTATACAGCGTTTTATGCTGCCCACTTCAGCTCGCACAGGGAGGTGTAAATTGCACTGAATCTGCTCAGCCCAGCGTGCCTCGTGCAGTTTGCCTGCAGGACTTTGTTAGCTTGGGTTGACCTCCTAACAAATAAAGATTGTGGCTGCTTTTCACTGCTGCAGAAATACCCAGTGATCTGGAACAGATTGCCCACATCATCAGGCTTACAGCAGACATTAGTTTACATCCATGGTCCGGGATAGTGAGAGGAAAGAAAGTGCCTGGGTTCAGTGGCAGTGAGGATTTGGGTTGGTCTCCTGGCATCAACCACTCCTCATAGGGTAAACATTAGGGAAATTACATACAACTGCTCTTTGTGCTCCAGTGGCAGCACTTCTGGTCAAAGCTGAGAGGTGCTGTCGAGGAGAATATCACATCAAAAAACCGATAGTACTTAACTGCTTCAAACCACGACTGGGCAAGAGAACTCTAGGAAGGGGAAGTATGTATCATTTTTATGCCTCCAGCTGAGGTCAAATGGAGTGAAATGACTTGAGAAAACACAAAATTCAGGCAACTTCTTTGAACGCCTCTTTCCAGAGCACTGTTAGGGGTCTAGCTCACCGTGGGGGAGAAAGGGAAATTCTTCAGGAGCATAAGGAGTCGTTGTTGTTCCTCTTTTGCATTTTCAGCACAAACAGAAGCCCCTTTCTATGAGGAGTGGTGGTTTCTCCTGGTGATGGCTCTCTCAAGTCTGATCCTGATCCTGTTGGTGGTATTTGCTTTGGTCCTGCATGGCCAGAGCAAGAAGTACAAGAACTGCAGCACAGGTAAGACAGCGGTTCTGCACTGTGCACATGCTCTCAAGATCTTCAAGAATTAGAAATGTCTTCCCTTTGAAATCTTGATTTCACCAGCATGTGCTCTCTTAACAGGTATTTTGCTTGGCAGAAGAGTTGGATATTTTTACTGTTTGATTTGGTAGAAATGGCTTTTGCCCATGGCCTTGCTGGGCAAAGAGTGCCTGAGCCTGCGAGATTTTGGAAGTTAACCACAGGCTTGGACAGAACAGCATGTGGAAGGCCCAGGGGCTGTAACAAAAGCCAAGTCGTCTGGGTCAAATGCTTGGCAGAGGACAACAAAAAAATGAATGAGCTGAGACTTCATTTAGCTCAGTTGTCATTCCCTGATAGATGGGGAGAGGGTTCTGCTTTCCGTGTCTGTACCCAATGCAAATATCCTATGGCTGTATGTGTGAGGACTACATCATAGCTCCCTTATATTAAATAGAGTGCCCAGCATCTCGTGTTCGTTCCCTAAGCCGAGCTGCAGTTACTGGTCTGGTGCCGAGGAGCTGGGAGGTGCCTTGGTTATCCGGGCCTGTTGAACTTTGGGGCATTACGAGGATCAAGATGTGAATTTTCCTTTAGTTACAGTTTTTACCATTCCTTTCTGAAAGGGAAGAGGAGCTACCTGCTCTGGAACTGGGATCGTTGATAGTCCCCTTTTTGAGCACCTGGTTCCAGAGCAGTGAATATTGTTCTTATCTTTTCTTCACCTTATGTGAAAAAGTTGTTCATCTGTGTGGTTCTTTGGTAGCTATCTCCACCTCCAGCAAGAAATTGCTCTGCTGCTAGAAGGCCTTGCCAAAAAGGCCCGTTAGTGAGTCAGAGTGAGTGGATGAGTCTTTATGCTACTCATTCTAAGGGATTAATGTAATGAAGGAGTCTGGAAAGAGTCTTCCAGACAGTATTTAGAAATTCAGTCCCAAAGAGAAGATCTTTTCTTTCTTTATAATTCACTGCTAACAAGCGTTAGAAAATCAGATTTTAGTCCCATGGCATGTAAGATGTATGAATACCGTGGCATTTTACCAAGTTAATACTATTACATATTTGTATGCACAGCTCATAGGAAATCACTCATCTTCTTAGTTTTGCTGTGTGTTTGGGGCGCAGACAAGAAAAGACACGTCTGACCTGCACTGTCAGGTATCAGTGTTCACACTGAGTCTTAATGTAGCATTGAAATTGAAGTTGAGGATGAAGCACCTGTCTGCTGCAAAGTGGCAATACGCAACTGGTCCTTCTCTGCAGGACACTAGCTGAGCTCACACCTTTGGGATTACAAAGAAGAGCATGGGAGAGAATAAGCTCTTGCTATATTTGATCACAAGAACAAACATATCTTGCTGTATTTTCCCTTGTCCGCCAGTCCCTGTGCTTTTCCCTGCCTTACACTGTTTGTGATTTCTCACACCTATATCTTATTCTCATTACACTTCTGACATCTTTTTTCCCATTTGCTGCCCACTAGTCCTTTCTCTTGCTTTCCTGCCTTTTTTGTTTGTTTGTTTCTTCTTTTTCTGCCTTTCCTAGTTTTACTTTTGCTTTGCTTCAGTCAGCATTAATGGGATGCATGTCACCTGGTTTAGGACACTTTCAGTGGCCACCTGAAATACTCACCTGGGTTCCATTTGTAGTCAAAAGACAAGCATAAGCACTTGTGGAGCACAGTTCACCTGCATTATTTTAGATACTTACCATTGAATGAAATGCATTCATCCATGACTCCGTCCCTCCCCTACTTTTGCTCCTTCTGCCTGTCTGCACTCCTGATATGCTCTTTTCTTCCACTTTGTACTCATTTTTCAGTAACAAAGCTAGAGAGATTTTTAAAAAATAGTGGTATCATAAAACATAATGAAAGGAAAGTTAGCAACTCATTTTTAATCACTCTTAAAGTTGTATCTGGGAGGAAAATGCCCTTGTTTCAGCTGAATCTCTCATTGCCTGGCTCCAGGTAAGACCATCTCCAATGTGGAAGAGTCAGTCACCTTGGATAATGGAGGCTTCACTGCTCTGGAGCTCAATAGCAGACACCTAAACATCAAGAGCACATTCTCAAAGAAAAATGGAACCAGGTAAGAAGCTGGGAACACCACGCTGCTGGAAATGCCTTTTCATTTAGATTCAGGCAGCTATTAAGTAGGCAACATGGAGACACTGTTGTCTGGTGGATCTAAGGAGGTCTTCACACTAATGCCCAAGTCACTGCTCCAGGCTGTGATTCTGATTTCTAAGCGTGATTTTATTGTCTCTAATTGCATCATTTCAGAGAAGTGACAATATCCATACACTCACATGTTATGTTTACCAGGTCTCCTCCTCGCCCAAGCCCAGGGGGGCTGCACTACTCTGATGAGGATATCTGCAACAAGTACAATGGAGCTGTGCTGACCGAGGGCTTGGGACTTAACGAGAAGCCCTTAGAAATGTCGGAGTCAGAGGTAAGGGTTTGCCTTTGCCTCGCTGAGTGTCACTCACTGCACACATTCGTTCCCAGCACCAAAGACTTTGAAATCCCATTGCCGCACCGGCATTGCGCTGTTGCCATTATTTGTCTGCATCGATATTATCACAAGTTTTCACAGTGCCTTTTTAGGCAGCTGCACCAAACACTGAGATTTGGAAGTATGTTCTTTAGTGATGAGAACTGCTGCCTGCATTATAATGGGAGTAAGTGGGGAATCAGTAACCTGCCAGGGATCTCATAGCAATTTCAGTGAGCCCAGCATTCAGGTTTCCAAATGCCCCAATCTACAGGAGCCTTCTGCTTGGGATGCTTTCAGACTCTGTTCTCCAAGGAAGGTGGTTGTGTGCCAGCATTATGCATTTGACAGTGCTCTATCTTGTGTCTCACATCTTCTTTAAGAAATAAGTGGTTATGGTCTGTAAAAGCCCAGCAGTGGCCATGGGTGAATAAGCAGACTTCAAGGGACATGCAGACAGGTAAATCTGTCTCTCAAATTGTGTGTTGTCAGCTGAGATCCCGATGAATCTGAGCTGACAGCACAAGAAGCGAGCAGTGGGCCAAACCACTCCAAACCTGACCCTTCCAGCAAGAATAAATCAAGAGCAGCAAGTAGTGAAGGAAGATGACAGTTTTCATCTGTAGCTTTTCTGCACCTGCAGCTACAGCTGCTTTTCCTGGCTACCCAACTCTCACCTCCTGTTAATTATCACGGACAGCCTGCTGCTTTGTGCTGCCCTATCGCCGACCCAGCGTGCCAGCAGCTTCCTTGGCAGAGCTGGAGCTGCTGTCTGCACGATGCACAAGCGCTACCTCCAGATTAAAGCCGTAGTGCTTTGGTCATGTCACTGTAACAACCCAGCATTAAACCTGTCATTAAAACAGTTTGCTGAGCATGATCATGAATTTAGCTCTGGCACCTTCTGACATTAATTTCATTGCCCCATGTGGTATTTCCTGGTAATGCGCAAAAGTCTCCTTGCAGGGTGTCATTACTGCCTTCTATGTGCGCTGTTTATATGACATAAAAGAAAGTGTTGTGTCTTTTTTTTTTTTTTTTCCCCCTCAGGCTATTAGTAATATTATTTATTTACTATGTATTGCAGTCAAGCCTGAAGGTCTCGATTGAGATTCTAGTGTTTTTGTGACTGTGTCTGCATGTGAGAATGGGAACAAAATATGCCTCTTGTTTTTCCTTGGGGCTTAGATATGCAGCCCTTCTGTATAATGTCTTTGATGCTTGCTTATTTTTGTGGGGAGTGCTTTTAGGCATGAAATGTTAATAGGCTCCCGATAGAGGTAGCAAGAGGAGATGCTGCCTTTTGATCAGCCTGAAAATGCTGTTTATGTTGGTTGGTACAGGCAGGAGATGAGGGTACAGGGGCAGAGGTGGGTATAGATGTTTGACCGCTCTGTTTTCAAATATTCCTGTACCTATTAGCTCTTCCCGTTCATCTTTTCTGCTCTCGGTTTCTGTTCTCAAAGGATATCTTAACAGACAAGCTCTGGTTTTCTGAGAATTTCAGAATCTCCATCGTTTTTAGCAGGCAAGAATGTTTCCTATTAAGTGAAGAGTTAAAGATATCTTTTTTATATAAGAGCTCTACACATGTTCAGTCCTCTGCAGCAAAGGGGATCCTGATGCTATTTTCCTCTAATACGTATTTGCATGGATCTCAAATTCCACTTACTGTGCTGCACAGAAGGGCAGGTAAGGCCAAAAACAGTGCTTTTGCTTCCAACCCATATGTCATCTCTCTGCTTCTTAGTTTTACCCTTGTTGCCTGAAGTGTCAAGATTTTCTGTGGAAAAGAAGGAAGCTCGCTGGCTTCAACTCTCATGGGCTTTACATGAGCACGAAGAAGCCTGAGAGAAACTCTCAGGTTGACTGACTGCATTTGCAACACAGCTGCCTGGGAGCCTTCCTCCTTGCTCCCTCCTGACGAGAAGAGCAAGAGAGGAACGAAGAGGAAATGTAGCAGACCAAGCGGCACTCCAATATTCATAAATCAAATGGTTAACTCACTCCATGTCATGAAAGCCAAGCACCAGCACCGTTAATGAGGTTAAAGTAGTTTAATTGGCAGGTGTGGAGCAAGAGAGTGCTAAGAGTGTAATTTCTAAGTGATTAATAATAATAGGCTTTTAGGTAATGAGTCAAGCGGACCAGGCTCTGGACAGACAGATCTGAAGAAATTTGGTGCTCACCATTGTAGGGAAATTTGATGATGCATCTGTGATGTCAGCCAGCCAGGGAAGGGCAGCAGGGCAGGGTGTTGTGTATGTTCTTATGCTCACATGTCTTTGTGATACCCCAAAAACTGTTTTCAGGAGGTGATATTCTCATAGATTCTGTGCAGTGTCAGTCCCTGCTGGATGCTGGAGATGCTCTGCTCTGCCAAGCTGCCCGCTACGGCACAACTGATTTTCCCTTTCTCAGCTCTGTGGGAACATGCCATAAATTTCCACTTAACACTTATTGAGGAATATGGCTTAACTTGTTTCTGATGTTTTCAAGCAATTTTGACAAGTTGGGCAGGAGCTGCAGACGAGACGTTCATAGGGAGGGTTCCCATGTCCAGCAAAATGACTTGCCTACCAGGTCAAGCCTACCTCTTTTACACATACTTGTTTCATGTCAACCAAGAGAAGCTGCTGCCATCTACATTTTAAGAAATAATCTCAGAAAGCTGTTTCTTATCCATTCACTTAAAATAATAATAATAATTAGAACTATTTTTGAATTTCCCATTGACTCAGCTAGCCAACTCTGATTGCTGTTTTGCCTCTGAACAGCATTTGTGCATTTTGTGCTATCAATATAATGCTTAAATAGCCTCTCATTTTCTGTATTTATTGTTTCGTAGGCATCCCCACACTCTGGTTGACAGCCTCTAATGTCACCGTACACCAATCACACTTCAGCCTATGGAGGTTTCCAAGGAAACAAAGCCACCGTCGCACTGAAGGGCGATGCAGAGTAGGGAAAACTGAAAACAAAGCAAAAAGCCCTGCAGCATTTCTATTTCCTCAGTAGTTTAAAAACACTAGAAAGTAATCCTCTAATATAAGCTGTCTGTACTGTCATGCAAAACATATATTTTTTGACTCCTTGACTTTCATTGGGGCAGGCAGGGATCTGGGATCATAACTTAGAAAATTTCTTGCTGCTAAGGGCAGGTATCAGTACCTTGTTCAGAGCAGACCTTTGAAGATAGTTTGGAAACGTAGAATAGTTGGTTCTTGCTTATTTTGAAGGAAATACAAAGAAACCACTTTCTATCAAGACCAAAAAACAGGTTATCCTTCCCAGCATCACTGCTAACGATGGCTAAAGGCTGAAGTTAGATGAGGCTTTTGCAGCTATATAAGTTTCATGAAAGTCCTCTCTCAAAGGCATTGGTCTTATTTACACCGCATTAGTATTCTCTTTCAGTTGGGATAACAGACTAATGAGGGGACAGATTATCAGCAGGTGGCCTAGTTTGAAAATCTTGGACTTTCCGTCCATGGCAAGTCTATTTCAAGTGGCAGCAGCCCATCTAAAAGTGCTCCCAATATTTCTCCTCTTCATTATGTTGACTTCTGGCAGTCTCAAAAGGACTTGGCTTAGGTACAGAAACTGTATTAGTTCTGTGGGTAAGTATATTTTTCCTAGCAGTGGATAGAAATCAAGTGGCTGCATCACTGTTATTGTACCTATCAAGTAATGTGCTCCTTTCCTGGGTACATCTCCCTCTCAGCATTTCTTCTTAGACCTCCTGGCCTTTTAACTGCCTTTATGTTTCTTCCCTGTGTCTGTGGGGCTGTCAGGAAGACCAGGAAGGAGCCACAGGAAGCGATTTTTTATTTTTATTTTTACTTATGTGTATAACACTGCAACTCAGCTGACACAATCCATCTCTCCAGCAGAGGCTTGTTTCTCTGGAGCTGGAGGAGAGCATCTGAGGCATTGAGACTGATTTTGGATTGGGGAAGGAGTCGGAAGAGCTGTGGTTGCATTGTGTTGTTGGCGGGGGAGCGCATCCAGGAGTTTATATCTTTAGGTGATGCTCACTGTTGAATGAGCTGCAGCCATCTGCCTCTGCTCAGGATGCAGAGACTTTTCTGCTGGATGCCGACATCATCTCCCAGCTCCCCGAGCACTTTAAGCCTTTAACGCTAGCATGCAGAGCTGCAGCAACACATAGGCTGGCGCAAGGTACAACATCTTGTTTCTTGATAGGAACAGAGGAAACCAGGTCTGCAGGAAAAGTCTGTTGCCTCTGCAGCTGAGGACCTGAGCTGTAGCCTCTCTCTGTCACGCTGCCACATCCACCATCAGCAGAAGCACTTTTGTTGGAGCCCCTTACAAAATAGACAGGGCTGTGCTGGCAGGATGTTTCCTGCAGCAGTGCCAAGACTCTGGAGCTGCTCTCTGTACCCCTTGGCTGCAAAGTGTTCCAAATCTGGGGATATTCCAGGCACGCTGCAAAAACCACCTGTTCAGGAAGGCCTTTGGAGGGAGCCCGGTGTTGTCTTCCCAAGGTTGGCAGCTGGTGCAAAGGAACGTTTTTCCAGGTGATAGATTTGCTGAGTTCCTTCTGGAATAATTGTTAAATGCTGGTGGGGTTTTGTTGTAATATTAATTACGCATCAAGGCACCTGGAGCTTTGCAGTCTTAAAACAATAGAAAGATCCAAAGCATGGTTAACAGAAGGGCAATTTTGCAAAGCTGTTAGCAAACTGCTTTACTCAGTTTCAGAAAAGTCTGGGAAAAAATTTCTCAGCCCCGTCTATCACTCTCTGTGCTGGAAAACAGGCATGAAATAGTATCGAAGCAGATATCTCAGCAAAGGAGTGGGATGATGGATGCGGTGCCCTTTTCAGATGATGGTTCGGAAGGCATTTGAAGATTGTTCTTCAGAGGCCATTAGAGGAGGAGAGACTAGTTGTGTGGCAGGCAGGATCAAGGAGGGTGTGTGTTTGCTGTGTGGTGTCAGACTCAGAATGATACCAACCTTCTGAAACTAACTGCAGTCACTAGTGGTTGTGAGTTGTGCTTACCCATCTCTCTCTTGTATGTCATAGGCAGCCACCACTTTGATTTTTAATTGCCTTTTAGGTTGGCTACGCAGGCTAACAGGGGGGAAAAAAAAGGAATAAAAGCTTTTGCATGCTCGAATGAGAGATTTCAAGAGAAGGCATGAGATATGGCAGTGACTGAGTAAATGTTTGTGTGCTGCTGAGGGATGTGGCTGCTATTGGTGGGAATGTCAATGGGAACAGAAGGGAAATGTGCGCTTGGATGCTATGGGCAAGGCTTTGCCATGATCTCTGTTCAGACGAGATCGATGAGCTCTCCATGCTTCCTGCAGCTGTGTCCCAGAAGCCGTGCTCTGGAGGCACAGAGCTGCTCTGGTTACAGCCCAGCAGAGCTCCTCAGCTCCAGTGAACTGCCAATACCGGCTCTGAGGCTACCGGTTGTCCCCTGTACACGTTGTCAGGGGTAAGATCCTGTCTGAGCATGGGCTTGTGCCTGAGCCATGTGATGGAAGCATCCCCTCCTTTCTGGCAGTTCTTTTCCAAATATTGCATTTCTGTTTTCTTCCATCGCTGCTGGTTGTGTGCATTATTACACTACTGATAATCAACTGGAAAGTACAAAATAGAGTTGTTTGCCTGAAATAACTTTTGGTTTTGCTTAACTCCCTCCCAGTGATATAACTAATTTTCAGCATTTAATGAGGCTTGCAAGCCAAACTCTGAGCACTGTGCAGGTGCCCTGACCTGAGCAGAATACACAACAGCATGGCAGCTGCTGTGCACAAAAGCATTCTGTCAGTTCTTGCATCAGAAGTAGAGAGATTCTCAATTGCTGTTGCAATTGTGATCACTTTGATTATATCAGAGAGTCATAGAATGGTTGGTTTCCCTACAATTACTCTACCCTTCTCTGTACCTTCTGTCCAAGTAGGGAGCTGTAGTCCTGCTGTGGGGTTCTGCGCTAAATTAGAAGGGATTTTGTAGAATCATAGAATGGCCTGGGTTGCAAAGGAGCACAATGCTCATCCAGTTCCAACCCCCTGCTGTGTGCAGGTCGCCAACCAGCAGCCCAGGCTGCCCAGAGCCACATCCAGCCTGGCCCTGAATGCCTGCAGGGATGGGGCATCCACAGCTTCCTTGGGCAACCTGTGCCAGTGCCTCACCACCCTGTGTGAAAAACTTCCTCCTGATATCCAACCTAAAGCTCCCCTGTCTCAGCTCAAAACCTTTATTTCTCTTGTCCTTTCTCTGCATCTCTTATTGAAAGAGATCATCAGGGAATTTCCCCCTAGCAGCAAGGCCTGGCTCAGCCAGAGCACAGCACTCTCCTACAGCCAGCATGTGTTACACTTGGACTACAACCCATCCTACCCTAAAATTATGGCTTTTGTCAGCTGGTGATATTAATCTTCCCTCTAATTTCTTTCAGAGCGGACTGAGCTAAATCCTAGATGCTAACAGCTGATTTTTTTTCCCTTATACTCCAGGCCACCGACTCAGATTACGAAGACGAGCTGCCAAAGCATTCCTTTGTGAACCATTACATGAGCGATCCCACGTACTACAACTCCTGGAAGCGGCAGCAGAAAGGGGTGAAGCACCCAACATCCTACAGATACGAGGAGTGCTCCGCCAGCGAGACAGAACCCTATTTCCAGACTGTCATCACGACACAGAGCTCAGGAGGGGTGTACACCCCAACGGGACAGCCTGCACCCGGCTCCCGGACTCCAGTGACAGGCTTCTCCTCCTTTGTCTGACACGGGGTGGGAGGGAAGAGCCCGGCCGCGATGCCGGCACTGCTCGGGGTCAGACAGCAGTGACCAGCGGCGAACTGTGGGTAGCTTCTCTATCAGGGTAGAGCGGATGGGAACACGGATGAGGCTGATCTGGTTTTGTTCTTTATTTGTCTTTTTTTTTTCTTTTCAGTTTGTTTTGGGTTTGGGTTTTTTTGTTTTGTTTCGTTTCGTTTTGGTGGTTTTTTTTTTTCCTGAAGACAATCAATTCTCAAATCACGGAGCTGAACTAGCCGAACCTTTGCTTAAAAAAAAAAATAAGGGGGGAGGGAAAGGAATTCTGAAAAGCGATGATTTTAAACCACTTGTGAATAGTTGGGGTTTTTTAACCACTTTTTTGTAACACTGCTTCAGGAAGCAGCTCCTGTGCCCTCTCTTCCCTCTTTCTTTCTCTCCCCTCTTCCTATCCCCCCCCCCCCCATTTCCAAACAAGGAGGTGAATTCCCCAGATGCAATGAGAGACTTTGTGATGTGATTCGAAGAGAAAACATAAAACCTCCCAGGCTCCCTTTTTTTTCTTTTTCATTTCCTTCTGCCATCAGGGTCAAGAAGTTAAAAACAAGAAGGGACAAACTTTTACATGAAAAGCAGACACCTCCTTTCTCCTCTCCTCCTCATTGCTCCCCATGTTAGGAGCACTGGCTGATTCACTTAGGCTCAGATGTGTCACTGTGGCTGCTCTCAGCTCACTACTGGAGTTCATTTGCTGAATTGCTGACCTGCTTTCCCTTCTTTTTCAAATGGACCTGCTGGAATCTTTAAATATTCCAACTCCAGGGCCTCTAGAAGAGCAGATGTATCAAAAGAGCTCTGTAGGCAGCAGTGGGTGAGACAAATGGGAAGAATTTGGATGCAAGGTCAGTTTATTTTTGGTGTGGCTCTAATTCTCCCTTGTGGACTGCATGTGCCGTTTGAGTTGTTCGTTTTCAAAAGTCAAAGGACAAAATCCAGAAAGCCAGAGGAATCTTTCAGTTAATTGCAGTGACAAGCGAGAGAGTCTGCTAATTGATGAGGGTTTTGATCATGAAAGTTACCCTGCCCTGTCAGTAGAAACAGAGCATTCTTTCTTGCCCAGACTCTGCAGTGATGCTTACTGGTCTGTAAAAAAATAAGTGGTACTTGGGTTTGTTTGATTTTATTTTTTTAGTACAAAGACACGTCACATGGATTGGGTGAGTTCTGGTGTCCACAGGTGCCTTTTATTGATTCTTCACCTTCATATCTAGGAGAAGCAACAAAGTGTCTCCAAATAAAGCTAATCAGGTTTTCAAGCGTTAGGGCTGTGAATTATCTTGTGCACATTTATCGGCTGCTTTGTGTGCTTGAAGCTACAGCCTTTGAAAAGGAGAGAGGACTTTTTGTTTATTTTCCATCCTTTTGTACAGCTCCCCTTTTGTTTTCTTTGTTTCTACCTTTTTCCTGACTCTGTTTAGCAGCACGTTGTTTGCTCACAAGGAAACTGTCAGGGCTTTAAAGGAACTGAGTGCAGCCCTTGGATCTAGCAGCATTCCTGGATCACTGCACTTTTTACCACAAGTATGAAAGGTAAATTTGAAAGGAGACACAACCTCGCCACTCCAGCACCTGGCATTCCCTTCCAGGTGGATGTAGGTCAGCCAGGAGAACTGGCATCCTGCTGCTTGCTAATGTCTCACCAGGGCACGTGTGGGCACTGTTCCCATTGCAAATTGTCCCTGGAGAGAGGAAAATTGTCCTCTCTAGGGAGATGCAGGACAGCGATGGCACTGGATGACAATGTCTTAAAGGCAGGTTGTTGAAACCAACTTAATGTTGATGACACAGCCTGCCTGTCCGTGCTCTTAGGGCTGGTTAGAAGCTGCTTGGTTTCATCTCACCTGAACAGGTGAGGTCCCAGCAGTCACCTTTCTGTGCCTCTCAGGCAGGGCAAACCAGCTTAGAACTGCCTGTGCTCTTTGGCACTGCCTCTGAGCCCTGCTGCTCTTGGTGCATACAGATTCTGGATAGCACTGACACTGGATTGTTGTTCTTCTCCAAAGGCTCCAGAAAGAAAGAATTCAAAACCAAAAACCCCCTCGGATGTGTTCAGGGGCTTTTGAGTTTGGAGTAATGATTCGTGGATCATTAAATCACAAGGGACTTCTAAAGGTTACTTAAGCCAAAACCCTGTGAGCCATCCTCCTCTCCAGATCTGGGTAGGACATGTGTGGGATAGAGGAGAGGCTCTAAAGCAGGTTACTTGAGCTGATGGTGAAGAGGAATGCAAAACAAACAGGAAAAACCACTGCCTTCTCTGCACTTTGACTGTTCTCTTAAGCCATACGGACTTTGCTTTAATTACGGAACTGACAACGAATTGTTTGCAGTCTGCATTTTTTGGTTTCTTAGGCAAATTTACCTGTGTGACTTTCCATTTAGTTTTCTTTTTCCATGCATCAGATTACTTATTTTAAACCTCTTATTATACATACATGGGACACAAAGGTGCTATTGCTGTTGGGGTGCTAAATGGGCTCATCCAATGGCTCAGAGAGGCAGTGCTATGGGAGTCTTTCAAGGACCACTGAGGGACTCGTGGATACAGTTTAGAACAAGATAGATCACGTATTGAAGATCTTGCTCCAAAGGACAGCGTGGGGTGAGTAGCATCATATCTCCTGAATACTGCTGGATCTAAACTGCTGTAAGGTGCAATTATTCCCTGGGACTGTTCCGATACCACATTGAGTAAAAAGGCAAGAAAACCACGGGGAATGAAGAAAATGGAATCTGTGGTCACAGTTGCACCGAAGGAAGACATGGGGAGCAGCACAATCTGTATAAAGCAAGAAGAAATGATCCCTTTTTTCTCAGTGCCATCTGCAACTGAAATGCTCGAGCTCTCTGGGGTCCTGCCGCGTTGGCTGCACAGCCCTTTTCTTCTGACTGCCACCAAAATGAAAGGTTAGGAGTGATGCCTGGAGGTCCTGCTGATCTGAGCAAAACCATCTCTGTTCCATTCCAGATCATTATTACTCTCGATGTTGTTTTGTTTAGCAGTTGGCTTTTCTTACTTACAGGTTTATTTTATTTAGGCTTTTGCTCAGTGTGGACATGCACTGCCCTGCTCACTCCTAAAATGAGAACAGGATATGAGTTCTCCTGCCCAGTTCACTTATAGCTACATGCATGATGCCTGTGCCTTCTTGTTCACATGCTGTATTGCAAAATGTGACAAATAGGTAGGTTTTATTTACTTCTGATACCAGGTAAATTGTTCCATCTAGAAGGAAACACTCCATCAGTTAGCAAGAAAGCTCTCTCTTATAGCTGTAATCTTTGGGAATTACAGCTTTGAAATACGACTTTTAAACATTAGCTGTCATTTTACAATAACTTCACCCATCAAATCCACTTCTGTTTCCTTCTTCTTGTTTAGAACCATCTTGAAAAATGAAGACTTATATGTAAAACTCCTTGTTAGGGCATTTTATTTGTATTTATTTATTTTCTCTGCCTTGTTTCTCAGGTCTCCGGGTGACTGTTATTAAAAAATAAAAGCAACGTTATGAAATGACCGAGGGAGACGTTTCAGGGAACAGCTTAACAGGAGCTCATTTTTCATGTGGTAGCCATGGGAATATCCCATTTCATGCAGAAGAGTGCCATGTCACACACGGTGTGTCCCCCAGCACAGGTTGCTCCCTCAAGTGGAATATTTTCCATTCCCACCTCTTAATCTCAATGTGGTGCATGGCTGGTGCTGCTGGGTGAGAAGGGACAGGAGAGGGCACTCTTCTGCTTCCATTGGGGACAGCCTCTTCTTCCCCACCCTGGGAGTCAGCAGCTGGAAATTCCCTGGTGGGGAGAAATGAGATCGTGTTGGTCAAAGGCTTTCAGAGGCAACTGCTGAAGGAAACACCCTGTGCCAAGTGATCCCAATATTGGAGGCAGTTAGCACTAAAAAAGGGGAGGGAAAAAGAGAGAGAGAAAAAAACAAAACAAAACTAATCCATTAACCCCAAAGTAATTTTTTTCCTCCTCATCTGGAGTGCTAAAACCAGTGATGCTTTGCAGATGGACTGAGATCTCGTTTCTTCTGCTTATATCCAAGCCTCTGCCAGAAGGTGCTGTAGCAATATTTTAGAATAAATATCCAGGTCTGTCTTGAAGGGGGGATACATTTATTATCTTTGTCATTGCTCTCCTCAAGAAATACATCGGGTCATCCAAAGATTATCCAATCTGCTCTCCGGAAAGGGAGGATAGAAAGCAGTTCATGCAGACAGAGCACCGGTGTCTTCTCCCACTTGCAGTTTTCAGACTAAACAGGGCAATCCTTTTAGAGAAAGAATTTGTCAGGGAATTTTAAAATAAAAGAACGATGACTTTTGGCAGGGCCGCTATAAATCAGCCATCCTAGAAACCTGAGACATAAGAGAGAACACGATCCCAAAACATCCCATCTTTGGCAGTTTCCTTTATCAGTAGTAGCCGAAAGGGCACATGCAATGAGGGATTCTATTTGGAGAGCAAAAGCCATCACAGAACCACTGCTAGACAGGCAAGTTGTATTGCAGACCATGTCGTTCCATCTGGAGTTCCTGCTATTGCTTAGATCAGCGTGGGTGGAGTCCATGCAGCATCATGGCATTAGGAGAGGTTTGTTGCTGTTGAGCTTACACAGAGGCTGCACGCATGACAACGTGGTTGTACAGTATGCTCTGAACCCTTAGGGAAAGCCACTCTTCAATTAGGAGCACACAAACCCCAAAACTGAACATGTTGGATTGGGGTTGAGCCTCTAATGGCTCTACCTGACAAATCCCTTCATTTCTTCATATTTTTTGTATTCCTTTTCTTCCCCCTGCATCTCAGACCCAGCCCTCCCAGGCAAAGTTGGCTTGCACTTTGTGAAGGTGTGAAGCTTGCCACCCACTGTAGTAGAGCCAGCACTGATAAGCACACGTGTGACACATGGGACAGGTGAGATGTGTTTGAACAAGAGGTGAGATTCCTTTGTGATTTGAGATTCAGGCGTTGACTCAGAACTTTTATCTTCTCAAAGCTGCCACCTGCCCTTTTTAAATGGCCTTGGAGCCTCAAGACTTGACAGGAAAATCATTATTTCTGTTGATTACTGTTTGATCACTGTGCACTCTCCTGGGGCTTGAATCACTGGATATAGAGACTGGCACAGGGTCACAGAGCTTTATATCAAAGTGTTTTCCCATCGATGTCCAATTCTTTCCATCTGGAAGGGACACCTTTCTGCTTGTCAGCAGACGTGGTGATGTCCTGCAGGTGGGACCTGGGATGTGGCATCCACGCTCCCCGGTGGTGATGCTGAGCCCATGGCAGGTTGCTTTGCCACTCTTGGGATGGGATCCGTCCTCTGACCTGGTTCCTGCTGTCAGCTCAGGGGTAGGACCACCTTACACAGCTGTTTCGGAGTTACCCTTTAGTGTAGTGTGGTTATCGGGTCAATTGCTTTCACTTCAGTGTCTCCTTGGGGATTTGCCCTGGATTTCCGTTCCACGCCTCTCGTTAAGCCTCACCTTCACCACTCCACTATTTTATATGAGAAAGTTACTTCTTCTTTTGCAAAACTGCTTCTAATTAAAAGAACCCTTTTGGAATGCGTGTGCCTTTGGTACTTTTATTGAGGGGTGGGATGAGGGGTGGTGGGGAGAAAATGTTTTCAAGCCACTTCTGTTATTTTTGGCTAGAAGAAATGGTTTGGTACCTTGCCAGAGTGTTCACGATTTAACAGCTCAGGACAGTGAAAATGTAACACAGGCTGAAATTCCACGCTGTTAGTTCTGGGCTATAAAATCTTATAACCCCTCGCTGCTTTTTGAGCTCAAACGAAGCTCTCAAATCGTTTACACCCAAAATTTGGTCAGCCTGAAATTTGTGGTGTTCAGTGGTGATAAACTTCCTCCCGGATGAGCTGAAACCCATTGGGGCTGCTGGTTTGTGTGCTTTGGTTGTCCCTGCAGGGTGGGAGCAGCCATTATTGAGGTCCCACAGGGGTGCTGGTGGCAGTGGGCTGGATCCTACCTCCTGTAAACCCATGCAGCCATTACAATGGGGAGGTGACTGTGGCTTTTCCCTGGCAGGGAAGCAAACCACACGTGGGCAGGTTGGCTGCAGCCCTGCTGGAAAAGGTGAGAGGTGGGAAATCATTGCTTTCCAAGGGCTGGGAGTCAAACTGCTAAGGAAACAACTCTTGTTTTCCTGCTCCTGAAAGGGTTATTGTAAACAATGCAGTGTTAGATAAATACAGGCACCCCCCTGACTGGTGGCATGTAATAACTTAGAGGTATCAACGTGCCCATTTTGAAGATGAAAATCCTCACACTGTAGAATTTTGTGAACAAGGCATTATTCTGCAAAATTGCCAGAACACGCAGCAGCACTTTTTTTGAGGTCATTCAGCCCCAAAGTGCATCGTCCTCTGCTTCCAGCCCTCGCTCTGCTCTGGACACGTTTCCTTTGTGCATGTTTTTATGGTTAGGAATGGAGCACGGACATAAACACTGGAGTGGATGGGAAATCTGCCATGGCATTTGTAGCCTAAACAATACCAGAGCACACAGATTGACTTCCTGCCCTGCCTTGAGCAGCACAGGCAATGACTTGACTGAATCAAGCAATCAGGGCTTTCACTGCTGACCCTTTTCCTGCTATTTGTCTCATTTGTTTCCTCTTCTTCCTCCTGTGTTTTTGCTCTAGGGTTATTTATTCTTCTCCTTGCTCCTTTTGTTTTCATTATTTAAGTCTGCCTCTCAGTTTTATATATATATATATATTATTTTTTTTCCTCCTCCTCTTGCTTTGACAATCATTTTCATTCTGAGCCTGCTTTTCCCACAAAATCAAAAGGAACTTTATCTGAACACATTTTTCTTCATTATTTGTGCACATCCGCCATGCCCTAAGAACGGGAGTCCTGCTTTGCTGTATTGTTTCTTTGGAAATGCAGGATGTATCCCTCTCTGAGCCCAAGCAGTATGATCACTGAAGCTTTGGACTGAGCTCCCAGGCCCATGGAGACCTTTGTTAGGTAGAGACCCTCATTAGGTAGAGACCCTCGTTAGGTAGAGACCTTTGTTAGGTAGGCAACTGGTACGTTTACCACTATTCGTTTTCTAGCTAGGGTAAGATTAAGTCATGAGACTGATGATATGAAGTCATTCTGCAGCACTTTCACAGACAAGCATCTCAGCTGCCAACAGGGCTGATGAAGTCATCTGCAAATTCAGAGAGTATTTCCCTATATATGGAAAAAACCCTACAGTTACCAGCACGTGGTGGAAGAGGAAGCAACCCACGCCCATGGAGTCACTGATAGGCATGGCTCTGCGTTGTGCAACTCTCAGAGGCTGAGGTCAGCAGGCGCAGCACAGCCTGTTTTTGAGGAAAGCAGCCTTGCAGTGACTGAATCAATGACCCTGCTGCTCCTTCTCACTCCTTGATAACACGGGACTGTGCCAACGCTCACTTTGTGCACTGACCAGAACGCATGCATAAGGCTGAAGGGCAGTCCTGGAAAAGGGCTGTGTAGTGCAGCCCGGGGCCTCGTGCCAGGAGCCATAAAGCACCATACAAACATGGGTAACCTCACCGCAGCCCAGTCAGGCTGGAAAGATAAATATTCCTTTCTTTTTAGCAGGAGAAATTTGAGGCCCAGATGAGCTCTGCCTATGGGACCATGCATAGTCTGTGTGCCCAAGTGGCCTCACTTGCAGACGTCCTCAGTGCAGGGCAAAGAAAACACATCTTTCTTGCAAAGCAGCAGGACAGGTTATTTTTGGGTCTCTATAAATTGTCTCTGTTCTCCAGTGCTATTGCTCATACCATACCAGGGGAACACAACTGACCTAATTAAAGTCTCATTCCAACAGAACAAGAGTCAACTGTTAAATACAAACTTTAAACAAAAAAAAAATCTTGGGTTCTTTTTGTGTACGTACAAGCTGATCTGCTTGGGATGAACAGCATGGAGGTGGGGGCTGGGAGGAGCAGGGTAATTAGAGTCACCAGGGAAAATGAACTATGGAAACTGTGGAAACAGGGCAAATTTTCAGATTAATTTGTGGGACAGTAACTGAATCATGCAGGAGACCTTCTCCTCTGGGACAAAACCTTGTGTAACCTGACGGAAATTAGGAAATATTTTATCACCGACAACAGAGGGGACAAGGAAAGAAAGGATTCAGCATTTCAATCCTCCATCCCAGAAAACCCTCCCAGGCAGACAGGTGAAGGTGCTGCCATTGATCCGCACTACAGGAGCAAGGGATGAAGGGAGGAGATGCCTAAATTGCATAGAGCAGGTAAGGGTTAACCCAGCTAGCCAGGCTGCTCCAGCCCTTCCTGCTGGGTTTCTTGGTAGGGATCCTGCCCAAACATGTTTCCAGTGGCTCACATCCAGCTCTCACTGATAAGGAGCCAGTGACAGTGAATGAACCATGAGGCAAGCAGCTCCAGCACACTTGGTGCCTGTGCACATGTGCTGCAGGAAAAGCCACCCATGAGCAGCAGCACTTCATGGCTGTCCCCATTCCCCACCTCCTTAAGAGCAATTAACACAGCACAAGCACACCTGGGCTGAGCCACCCGCAGGAGCCTTGCTGCTCCCAGGCCAGGAGGAAGGTGCTCTTAGGACATTTCCCCTTTCACTACCTTTTCTCCTGCAGGAAACAGCACCTTCAGCAGTTTTAAGCATAAAAACCACAGGGCTTGGCACAGTATTGACCCTTCAGTGAAAGGAGAAACCCTGCCCAAGGTTAAAAGTTTGAGCCAGGGAGTAAACAGGACTCCTCCTTCTGCATCACATGAGTACAGTCACAGCTGCAAGATAAAAAGCTCATATAGTGAAGCCCAAGCTGTGTGGGAGGAGTGCTGTTAGGCTGTGAGTTTGATGGGGTTCCTTCCAGACCTTTCCCCCATCACTTGGTTGCTCCTCATTGCTTTCCTGAGCCTCCTGGTGCTGTAAGTAGTGGCTGGTGGACAAGCACCCTGGTACAAAGTGCATTCACAAATGCTAAGAACCATTTTGGGGTGTTCCCATTTTGTTTGCAAGGCTGATAAGCAGGGATGGGGGGAGAGAGAAGGGATTCATGGCCCAGGGCAGCCAGCTGAGAGCATTGGCTGCCTGCAGAGACCTTGCACTGTCTTCGTGTTAGTGAGAAGGGATGGGGCTTGGGGAAGGTGTAAAGAAATTTCTGGTTTGGAGTGTTTTGTTTGCTTTGCTGCAGAGATCCAGAAGCAGGAGCAGCTTTGCTTTTGCTGCAGCAAACTGCCTGGTTGCTTATGTCAGTCACAGGAGCTGTAGTAAACTACTCAGGTGCACCCCAAGGTGGTCCTGGGGCCCTTGCAGAAGGAGAGCACCCTCAGCAGGTCTGCTGCTGCATGAAGCAGACCAACACTGCAGCCTTTCCTGTGTGGCAGGAAGCAGCTATCTAACCTACAGTCAGGGTGAAGAGCCTTCTCTTTTCATTGCATAAATGCATCTCACACCCTGGCTTTGTTCTGCAGCTATGGGATATGGCCCTACCAGACCTTCAAGAAGCTGGGCATTCCTGGCCCACGGCCTGTGCCATTTTTGGGAACATTCCTGGCATACCGACAGGTGAGTAAGGGCAGCTGCTGCTCCAGGTCTGCTTTAGGTTCTCACTGCTGGTACTGCTTTTCCTGTACTTAAGACATCTATTTTCTCTGTCCTTGCTTCCTTGATTCTTGCAATGGTACCATCATTAAAGCTAGAAAAGACTACTGAGGTCATCCAGTCCAATGCTTTCAGATAGGAAGCTCTACAAGAGTGTACAGAGAAATGAAAAACACCTTTAGGCTCTGGCTGATCTGAATGAGGTATGTTCTGTCTTTCTCTCACTTTGCAGTTTAAGCTATCAGCTTCCTCCTAGATTTCTAGCCACAATCCAGCAGCTGAAAAGCTTTTGGAAACAAAGGAAGTAAGTGTCCTCCAGGCTGCTGCTTCCAGAGCATTGTGTGCTAAGCATCTTTGTGCTTTGTCAGTGCTCAGCAATCCCTGCCCAGTTGCCCTCTGTTCCACAATCTCAAAACTCCATTGAACAGATTTCTGTACAACTCTGTAACATTTCCCAGTTAGCAAACCTTTCCAAATAACAAGGTGTTAGCCAGCTCCAGGTAACTGCCTGCAAATGCAGGACGAAATGTATTAGCTTCAGCTTCTATGAAAGAGGCATTTTACCTTTTGTTTGCTGGGCTTACAGCATGGCATGTACTAACTGCCTTAGGTGATGCATGGCACTGTGTGTTCCATAAGTTTCATCCTCCCATCTCTACATTACATTTTCAGCTCTGGTTGGCTGGTGGAAGTTGGAAGGGCAGTTCACTTTCTCTGCTCTTTATTCCCTTCAGTGCCAATGTCCCTCAGTGTCTGTGTGTCTCCCCGGTCTCTGCCAGCAGCTTTGATTGCACTTTCTCTCTCAAACTGTTTGTTTCTTGTTTCTTCTTTTGCAGGGGCTCCTGAATTTTGATCAGATGTGCTTTGAAAAATATGGTAAAATCTGGGGGTGAGTTACCATTTGCAGAGCAAAATTCCCTGCAAATCTTCTGTTTGGGGTGCTTCTCTGTCCCAAAATAGAACATTGCCATTGTGTCCCCAGTGCTTTAATGCCAGCAATGACAAGCTGGGGCATGGGGAACATCCAGGATCACTCCTGGAAATGTCTAAATCCATCTTTGCAGGATTCTCTCCTGCTGGAATTTTAGTACAGTGCAGGGCTGGAATGACTGCAGCCAGTTCTGGAGACTTACACTTGTATAAGCTTTGAGAATAATCTTTTTTTTTTTTTTTCTTCCTACTTTGGGATCATTCAGAACTCACTATAGTGGAGTTAGTGACCTCAGGGCCAGGATCTCCCCATCCTCCAACACCCAGCACATCAACGCAGCCGTGCCTTTATCTCTCAGCTCCAGATGCGTTAGTGTAAGAAGGCACCAATCACTTCCCAACCACGCAGCCTGCCCAGAAAACTCTGCTGCTGGTGTCAAACTGAGCTTCGAGCCTTTGTAGCCACTTTTCTGTCTGCCTGGAGCAGAAAGCGAGCTGCAGGCTGCTGCAGTGCGTTTCATCCTGCTCCCTCTTCCCCCAGCACCAGGGCATGAGCTCCCTTTCAGCCTTCTCTCCCTGCTCTGCCCTGGTTCTACGCAGGCAGGCACAGAGCTCTCAGCATGCTTCTCTTGGGAACCTCTTAAACCCAAGCCAAAGCATCGCACAAAATCCATAGGAGCTTTATGAAAACTTAGCACAATTTTTGGGAAGATGAAATGTTCTCAAGCCTCTTGAAGATTGCAGCTTTCCTTGGCCGTGGCTCGAGGCTCCTGCCATTCAGCTTTCAAGTTTTTTGATTGGAAAATAGAAAAAACAGATGAGTTTTTCCCCCTCTCATTGCCTCATAGGCCACGCAGGGAGATCTCTTTCCCCCACAGGTAGGCTGTTCGGGGGGATTTATTGAGTCCAGCCACCAGTTGCTAAAGCTGCCTTTTATCTGAACGCACACTGCTATGAAAATCCTTCTGCAACAGCACAGTCGATGGTTAGAAATGCTCATGCTGTCTGTGTTTGGCCCTGTCCTTTTTTCCCTCGTCTCCTCTTTTACTGCATAATAAAACTGTTTCTCATCCCCTTGGCTGCTTTGTCAGAGGGGACGCAGCTGCGTGGACCCTGCGGGCTGCAGTGGTTCATGCACAGAGCAGCAGACTGCTTCTGCTCTGCGTGACCGTGAGCAATGCACTGACCATGACTTTCTCTTGGCTTAGGATTTTTGATGGCAGGCAGCCCATAATGGCTATTCTGGACCCCACGCTCATCAAAACCATCTCGGTGAAGGAGTGCTATAGCACTTTTACCAATCGCAGGGTGGGTATCCGTGCCTCCCTCTTGGGTGCAGAGAGCATGCACCAAGGAATGAAAAGTTTCTTCTGCTTCCAAGTCTCTCTTGGCCCTTCAGCAAGCAGCTGCTCTCTGTCATGCCCTGATTTATTGACAGTATTGCCAATGAAACTCTGCTGGAGCAGTGGGGAGGCCAGTCTGGCTGGGACATCAGCCTAAGTTTGCAGTGGAATTGATGTCCTGTCCACATCTTACGCTTTCGTTTCCATTTCTGTTTGCTGGTAGAGGTAGAGCTGCTATGAATTCAGGGGCCAAGTCAACACTCCATTATTGTTGTTAGTTGTGGTGGGCTTTTTGCTTTTGTTGTTGCTGTTGTTGTTTTTTTCCACTGCTATATTGTTAAAGGGATCTGGGAACCTTCGCCTGTTGCCCTGCATAACCATGTCCCTTTTGCTGTAAAATTTTGCCTTTACAGGTCTTTGGTCTGAGTGGGAGACTGGAGTCAGCTGTTAGCATGGCTGCGGATGACCAGTGGAAAAGGATTCGCACTGTGTTGTCCCCAACATTCACCAGTGGGAAGCTGAAAGAGGTAAAGAAAAGCACTGACTGAGGTTGGAAGTAATACCTTCCTCATGCCCTCCTCCTTTCTCTTCCAGAAGCTGTAGACTTGATCACTGTGGCTTGGCAAGTTGCAGGTGGCCATGAAGAGTTGACCAGCCTTGCTTACAGGGTATGAAGGAGTCAATTACTCCTGCTTTGTTTTGCGTTTCAGATGTTCCCTATCATTGAGAGCTATGGTGAAAAATTAGTGAAAAACACTGAGAAGAAAGTGGCTAATGAAGAGCTCTTGGACATGAAGAAGTAAGTAACCATGTGGAGCGGACACAAACATGTCTGTACTCAATGTGGCCATGGAGCCATTTGGAAAGCCATTTTGGAAAGTCATAGATGTGGATTTTGTTGTCATTTTCACAATCTCTTTTTACCGATGAGAATCAGGATGCTATCTTGGTTAACCTGTACCACAGTCCAGTGCTTTCCAACGATAGCCTGGATTTTTTACACTGAGAAAGATCAGGGGGATGAATGCAAATGGGGGAACTTTGGGAAAATACAGTGCTGGCTACAGTCAAATTGGAGCTGCTGTGTTGGGAGTCTGCACTGAGTCCTTGGTTAAAAGTTTCCCTCTCAGGGATTTCTCCTAGACAGGCTGTTATTCACTACTCTGGGCTTGTCCTATTCACTCTCTTTTCTTCTCTACACAGCATTTTTGGAGCCTACAGCATGGATGTGGTGGCCAGCACTTCTTTCAGCGTGGATGTTGACTCCATGAGCAAACCCAATGACCCCTTTGTCACCAACATTAGGAAAGTTCTCAAATAAAAAGCCCATTATTGATGTTCATAGGTATGACACTCCTCATCTTATAAAGCCGTGAATTGGTCACACATGGTGACCACCTGCATTTCCTTTTAGCTCCCTTATCTCAGAGTCCACTTTGCTATTTGGGGGGAGCACTTTGCAGAATCCAATTCACCCCCGCAGGTCTGTAGAAATATTTCCCCAGGGAAATCACAGTCAAGTTTTGTGCAGCTCTTGTGGGTCTTTGCTGCAGCCTCATACATGCAGAGATCCTGTTTGCCATGAAGAACTTGTGCTTCATACCACAGAGAGCTGCACTCAGTGCAGAACTGAAGGCATATCGTGATATGAGATCAGGAGACTGAAAGAGCTGAAGGCAGGGAAAAGCAATTTGTTGGGTATAGGTGTAGATTTGTCCCACTTCTTTCTGTTAGTTTGGGGGGCCTTGCTCTAAATCTATGCATGTTGTTCTTTTCTCACCTTCTAGTGTTGTTCCCCTTCATGATCCCAGTGCTGGAGAAGATGAATGTGACGCTGTTATCTAATGAAGTCATGGACTTCTTTGATGTCTTCTTCATGAAAATGAAGAAGGAATGGGAAAAAGGGTACCACATGGTGAGTACCCAGGTGGCCTTTTCTCTTCACTGTGCTGTTCTGAGCAGAGGTGGAACCTGGTCATGTCTTTAGAAGCTATGGTGGATTTATTTTCTTCTCTCTGTAATAGCTCGCAGCTCATTAAATGTGGGGAGGGCCAGAAGCATGCTCTACCTGGGCTTCCACATGGGGAAAGTCAATGCAGTCATCTGGTCTGAATCTCCAAGTGCTCTGAAGTTGTGGGGCTGGGTGCAGCAGGCCCCTCAGCATAGAGCTTGCACTGGACAAGATTTGGTTCCTCCCTCCCCTATCTTCTCTGACTGCCTCTGTTCCTCCCCAGGACCGAGTGGACTTCCTGCAGCTGATGATTGACTCACAGAGCTCACAGGATGGCTCCAAGTCTGCTGGGGAGAAGGACTCATACAAATGTATGTCTTGAGATCTGTCCTCCCAGCAGAGAGCAGGTGGTTCTAGTTAAAGAGAGGATGTGGGAGAAGACTGTAGTCTTTTATTCTGTGGGGGTCTCAAGGTTGCAATAGCAGGGCCATAATAACGCTTATTGCATGTGAGCTGTATTTTATTATATCTCATTTCCCAGGATAAATCCCAAGGGCTGTTTATCCAACAAAGAGCAAAGTCCTCTCTGAAGGCCAGTGATGTTGGCTGTGCTTTGTAAAGCACACAAAGCCCATATGTTGCATGCACCTTCCTCATCTACAAGCTCACCTCTGTTGCTCATCCTAGGTAAACTGTTGGATTCGAAAAATAATGGATCAGCCAAGGCAAAGCCCAGTTCATCAACATCTATCTAGGCAGGAAGCTTGTTAACTTGTGATCTGCGAGGACAGGATATTTGGATGTTGCCCCATGCTGCAGCCTGCATCCTGGCTGCAGTATCAGTGTGGAATTCTGTACCATCTCTATTACTGCTGCCACAGGGCTACTGATCCCTCAGCACTATCTGGCTGAACTCAGAGCCCAGAGGAGCTGCTTGGCATCTCCTCACCTCTAATTTTCCCCAGCACATGCCCATATTTTGTTTTTTGCCCAGGAAGCATGCTTCAAGGAGATAACAGATATTCTAGATGAGGATCAGGCTATGCTGAGCTTCACCAGTTTAATTCTGCTTTCAAAGACAGCGAACTAAGACTGCCAAACTTGACAGTGGTTCTCTGGCTTCACACCAGTGCCAGGCTGCTGACTGTGTTGCCAGAGGCTGCCAGTCCATGTCAGCTGGACAGGTCCTCTATCAGGTATTAAGTAGTTATCAATAGCATTACCTGGATGACAAGTAGGATCTTGGATTCCTGAAGGTTAATCGCTTTTGTGCTGTACATTTCAGCTTCTTACATGTCTTTGTGCCTCTTCTCAGCATTAAGTGATGAGGAGATTCTGGCTCAGGCTCTTATCTTTGTCTTTGCTGGTTATGAAACCACCAGCTCCACCCTCAGCTACATCTCCTATCACCTGGCCGTGCACCCTGATGTGCAGAAGCGACTCCAGGATGAGATCGATGCAAACTTGCCCAACAAGCTGAGTGGCGAGATGCTGGGGTCATTCCCACCTGCACCTTGGAAACCCTGCAGGGCTGAAGCCCCATGTTTGCAGCCATTTTGCAAGCCTTCCTCTCCCCCCACATCCCCAGGCTGCTCCTACATACGATGCAGTTATGCAGATGGACTACCTGGACATGGTGGTGAATGAATCCCTGTAGCTGTACCCTGCTTTGGGGCGGATTGATCGGATCTGCAAGAAGACAGTGGAGTTCAATGGGGTTACCATCCCAAAGGGCATGGTGGTCATGATCCCAATCTATGTGCTTCACCATGACCCGGCATACTGGCCCAAGCCAGAGGAATTCAGGCCTGAGAGGTGAGGACCAGGTGGGGGACAGCTGCACGTTTAACGTGATTCCTGGCAGGGGACATGGCAGAGAAAGCGGGGAATGCGTGATTATAACATTAAATTAGGCATTTATCAATGTCTGACATCTAGTCCCTGCATTACTGCAAGGGGAGTTTTATGATCTACATCCATAAACTGTGCATGGAATTTAATTAACTGCATTGAAGGAAGCGACAGTGAGAGCAGCTCCCAGCAGCTGTAACTGTTGAGGGGTTTATGGTGAGATATTAAAACGAGAGCCATTGGGTGACTGGCACAACGCCATGCAAATCAGCGATGGAAGGGCAAAGATGGGTAGGAGATAAAACCTAATTTTTCAACTCCAGTTATGAAATAATTTCTGTATAGGAGGCTCTGTTAGCCCCTGAAAAATGAGGCAACGGCCCAAGGCAGACGTGGGACATCTTTAGCTGGCCAAGAAGACATTGAGGGCTGGCCCAGAAGTCAGTGCCCTTGATGCTAACTCCAGTATGCAGATTTGTTTGCTTTTGAGACATAGCATGGCAGAGGCATCATGAAAAGGTTAGGGGTGGAGATGGGTCCTGCTGGGATCACCACAAACCACCAGGACCCAGGAACACTGCCTTGGCTGCAGGAGGAGCCACTCCAATGGGAGAACTCTGGGAATGGGCATGTTGCACCTCAGTTATTCCAGCAGTTTAATCTTTACACCAGGTGACAAATGGAAAGGGCAGATGGGCACGGACTCTTCAGGAATGGCTTACCTCACTGGGAGTTCATCAGAGGGTTGTGTTGGTGTCTCAGTAGTGAGGTACTTCACTGCTGACTTAACGTGGCCAGACCTCAAGCACTGGGAGCGAAAGGCTTTCTGACATGAAAACCAACTGATCACTAAGAAGTATTACTAAAATGCTCAGTGGCGAATTCCTCTGTGAAGCTGATTGTTCTTCCCTGTTTTTCATGATGAGGAGAGGAATGGCTAACGTGTCTCAAAAGCAACCCTCCCTTTAGTCGCGCGGGGGGGGATGTCTTTGTGTTCTCTCCATCCTTTGATCTAAAAGGAAGACGTGAAGCTGTAGACCTGTGCGTTTCAGGGTTTGAAATTTGGGCTCAGCTTAGAGAGAGCTCTGAGAAAAGAATAGTTATGAAATCGTTAGCATATTTCTGGTCTTCACCTGATGCACCTGGAGATTCACGGCCACCTCCAAACAGCTGGATAAAAACAGAGGAGTAAGGTATCTGCTGGGACAGGAAAAAGGGTCTTGGCTGCATTCTTTTCATATGCATGGAATCGCAAAAGGCTTTTGCCTTCCCAGACCTCTCATTGCTTCAAATCTGAAAGCTGACCTATCCCGGAACGACAGTTCTCTCCAATCTTATTCATTTATGTTTTCTGTAATCAGGTTTAGTAAAGAAAACAGAGAGAACATTGACCCCTACACCTACCTGCCATTTGGGGCCAGCCCCAGAAACTGCATCGGAATGAGATTTGCTCTCCTCGTCGTTAAAGTGGCTGTGGTTGCCCTTCTGCAGAACTTCTCTTTCAGACCCTGCAAAGACACTCCGGTGAGAATACGGGATGATGTGTCATTATCTGTGCTCTGTTCCCACTGGGATGATCCTCCATGCTCTCTTTTGTCTGCGTCTCAGGACAAGTAGGGATCTGACTCACTTACACATTAAATCCCTCTCATCCCCAAGATACCTATAACTTCAGGACCACTGAAGCTTGTCTGTGGGTTTGGGTTTTGCTGTTTCACGCAGAGACCAGGGAGGAAGATTTCACTGAGGATTAGAGAGGCGTGTGGGAATACCTGCATTTAAATGCTCTCAGTTGTTTTAAATGCTTCAGCACAACTTACTGATACTTTTTTTTTTTCCAGCCTCTAGAGAGGCAGATTAAATGTTGGTGGGATGCATCAGGCTCAAATCCCTGAAGTGTTCTGCTTTGCTTTGGGTGCAATTAAGCACTGGGGTGCTTTCTGCCTGCTGTGCCCTGCTGGTCTGTCCTGACCCAGCTTAGGCACAGCAGATCTCCTCCCCAGCCCGCTCCAGGGCTGTGTTTTGCAACATAAACATGGCCAGCAGCAGTGAGGCCCTGAGACAGCAGAACACATCTCTTATGGGCCACCAGGCAGACTCCAAAGCGGAACAGTTTTTGAGCATACATGATCTGAGCTAAATTTGAAGTGGTGGCCCTCTCCTGCTTTCAGGCTATGCAGGCTGAAGGACGCAGAGGTGAAGCAGGAGCAGGTTCCCTTCTTCCCACCCATTTTTGGGTTTGCGTGGGCTCCCACACTGTGCTGGTGGGAACAGCTGTGCAGAACAGAGCTGCTCAATGCTGAAGCAATGCGATGACTGCTAGGAATTACCCATCAGCAAGTCCTGAACACATGGCACCTCCCTGTGATGCAGACAGCTCACAGTCTTCTACTGCTGCTCCTAGCTGTGAGCACAGGGTGCCCAGCCCTGACCTGCTTTGCTGCACCACCTGCCACCAAAGGTCATGCCATTAATGTGTTTTGCTCACTAGGTGAGCTTGGAGATTGAAACAGAGAGGGCACAAGTGTATTCAAAGGACGTTTGCTGTATGAAACAAAAATACTCATAGAATTATTACTTGGCACAAGTGCTCGGCTGGAATCTCTGCAGGTTCAGATTGCTACTCAACTGCTAACCTGGAGGTGAAAGACTGTAATAGTCCATTAACAATGCAGTGACCTATCCACCCTCCCCCAAGTCTAATGACATTTTTCTAGTCCTCTGCAATCCATAAAATTGATTATTTTTATAACTGCCTTTAATTAAAGGGAGGCAAGTTAAATATGTATTGTATTATTGGTGGCCATAGGTTTATGGGGCTCTTTCAGGCTCATCTTCAGAAAGTGTCATGTATGTTGGATCAGAGGGGGAGGAAAAGATTCACCTGAGAACATCCTTTTGGAATATATGTATGGATGTCTCTGCCTCCTCACACCCCCACTGATGGTACATTGGGCTCAGAGCCATGTTGCTGAGATTTCCTGAGGCTCACTGGGATGTGGGGCTTTTAGGGCAGCATGTAGGGCTAGGGGAGCACTGTCTTTGTCCTGATGGGGAGAAGAACAGCTGGAGCATGAGCAGCATGTCCTACAAGTTGCCTCTCTCCATCACCAGTTTCCAGAGTGTTATAGTGAGATTTCCACCCCAGCAGAGCTCAGCACTTTTCTGTGTAACACTTGTTCCTTCAAACTGATCCCAAATATCTCTCTTCATTTCTTCCTTCCCAGAGAGCTTATTGCTCCTCCTGCTCCCATTACAGCCTCGCTGCCCTTCGTGGTGACACGTTTTGGCATTAAACAAAATGGCACCAGTGCCCCTCTTTGGCTTCTGCTCCCTGGATGGATTCTGGCTGCTTTTGCCTCATTTCAGTAGTGTGCTGAGCTCCTCTTACAGCCCCAGGTAGATGCTGGCATTCACTAACCACTTGGTTCAAGAGCTGAGGGCTGCTATCCCCCAGCTCACAGCTGTTTTATGTGCACAGCAGTCATAGCTCTGCAATAAACACAGCTGCAAAGCCAGGCGGTGCACTGCAGACAAGGGGTGGCTGAGATGCGTGTGGGCTGGAGGGGTGTTTTCTATGACATCAAAGTCCTTTTGCTCATCTTGAATGGCACTTCTGTGTGCTGTTTGTTTGTTTGTTTCTTTTTTCCTCCAGATCCCCCTGGTTCTGGACACAAAAGGTTTCATGCAGCCAAAGAAGCCCATTGTCTTGAAGATGGTCCCCAGAGCCCATGGCGATCTGCAGAACTGAAGGAGCTGTTCAGAGACTTTCAATCAATGGTGCTTTCCCTGCCCAACTCTGGAAAAGAGATGCAGATTGACGTGTGCACTCTTGAAATGTCAGTGATGCAAATCCCCATTTTGACATGGGGCATTAGGGGTTTGGCCTGGCATAATTAAAAGAGCGTTATCCTAATGAAAATTCCTTGGCCTCAGATCCTGCTGTCCCAGATCATAATAGGCATTTTGCAAGACCATTTGCGCTCAGGTTATTTGGGTGTTTTTTTCCTCTCCCTCTGAAGAGGCACTTTGCTCAGCAATTTGATTCCAGACACTGTCAGTCTCTTCTGGCAGTGTAATTTAAATCAAGATAGCGAGAGCGAATAGCACATAGTTAAGTAATGCTACCATTGCTCCTGCTTCTACTGCCTGCTGGGCAGCTCTGTGTGTCTTCTGGTTTTATTCTCCTGGGGATGTAGATTTGTCCAGGGCTATTTCCTCAGCTATGTGCTCTGACCCTGACAAGTGTTAAAGTGGTCATGTCCTCGCAGGGATGAATGTCGTAAATTTTCTGATACTGATTTATTTAGATTTTCTTAGGATTTCATGCGTGATTCAGATTGCAGACGAGTTAACTGGAGGAGCCCAGAGACAAGCAGTTGCCCCTAATGACTGGAGCTTTGTGGAGTGAGAGAGAAGTGCCCTGCGTGTTTTGCTGCTTGTTTGCTTGTTTCACCCCAGGCACACAGCTGTCTCTCGCACTAGTGACTGTCAGTACAGGCAACATCTACTGCACTGCCACTGTGACACCTTTTAGTCTCTGACGTGCATTAGGCCACCGTAGGACAGAATTAACTGAATTAATGATGGCACAGGGTGCAGCACTGAGAGCCTTCAGATGTCCTGGACAGCCCTGATCTAGCAGAAAAATGTTGCTTTTGGCTGTTGAGGACGGGGAAGTCTTCCCCATCCTTTGTCCTTGTTTCATGTTCTAGAGGACGTAATGCTCTGTGCTGTCCCGTCTCCTTCAAGCTGCTGATGAGAAGCTAATCACAATAAAATGCTCACTGCCTCTTTCACATAAAATTGAAATCAGTCTCTGCTTCTGCTCTGTCCTCTGTATACAGATGAATCTACCTGTAGGTCTCAGAAGCTTTTGGCCACAAAATGATGTGGTCCCATCACTGCTCCTAGCAGGGGTTCCTCATTCCTTAGGAGCAATCTTCAAAGCATCTCTGCCTCAAAAATCAGCACTACATAAGGGATACAGAAGCCAACTTTTGCAGCTTGTTTTTTTTCACCACGTTATCTCAAGACAAATTGCTGGAGGTGCTGGCTTGCTTGTCTCAGCTGGGCATTTGTCTTCCTGTGAGAGCAGAGAGCTCTGATTCCTGTGCCTGCTCCATGCTGCAGACCAGCTGGCTCCACACAGAGTTCTAAGTGCTTTCCATGATCTCTCATGCACCTGCTCCAGAGCACCCTTTCACAGCCAGATCTGTTCTGCTTCCAATCTGTTGTAGTTCAGGGCTGGGTGAGATACTTGCACCTGTCCCAGTCACTACCGTGTGTAATCAATGCTGCTTGGATTCCTGAGGGATGAAAACTCACAGGCTCACATAATGGCAAGGGTTGGAAGGGACCTCAAGGATCATGAAGCTCCAACCCCCCCCTGCCACAGGCAGGGCCACCAACCTCCACATTTAATACTAGACCAGGCTGCCCATTAAGGGTGCGAACAGGCAGAGCAGAGCCAGCTCCTGCAGGGCTGAATGCTGGCTGCCCTGTGCTCTGTTCCTATGCTTGCTCTTACATGCAGGAGCCAGGCATAAATTTGGGGAATCCAGCTGTCATAATGAAAGCACATCCATTCCAAAGCTCTCCTGTATGTGGTGTCTGTGTACCATTGCTGAATGGCTAAGGAAAGGACCATTTAATCATGCTGGTTAGGTGCTACCCCATCCAATCTCAGCAGATAGGCAGCAGCATCCTTACAGCTGATCCATTTGGATGCTGCAGTGTGTGTGAAAACTCATTATATCCCCAATGAATGTAAGGAGTTGGCTTGTGTGCATTGTCAGTAGTAAGAGCTCATTCTAGAGGTGTTCCATTTAAGATGCTCAGTCCGAAATCATAGAATCCTTAAGGCTGGAAGAGATCTCTAAGATCAAGTCCAACTGACAACCCACCCCCACCACAACACCCAGCCATATCCCTCAGTGTCACAACCATATGATTCTTTAACACCTCCAGGGACAGTGGCTCCACCACTCCTCTGGGCATTCCAACACTTGAAATAAGTGACAGAGCAGAGCCATTGGTGGTGTGAAGTGGTCTCCAGTGCAAAAATGGGCTTAGGAACTTCAGTCACTAGAGAGCAGTTGTTCTCCTTTCTATATTGCTTTTCTGTTCTGATATATTGTTATTATAGTTAGATTGTATGTATATTATTATATACTGTTCTTTTATTTCTTTCTATATTTTATATTTTCTTTTTATATTTTTGAGGCGTTTAGTCAAAAACCCCCAGAGACACATAAAAACCTTTCTGCAGTGGATGAAATTCCCCAGTGAAAGTCATCCTTGCCTGAAAGGGTAAGGAAGAGCAAGGCTGTTTCCCTTGAGAGTCAACGATGAGCTGAGAGGGAGGGCGAGAAAATTCAGCTTCCCCCTCTGCCTTTGTGAGCTGCAGCAGCACATTGCCCTTCTAGACTTTGCACAAAGGCAAGAGTTCATCTTCACTTTCAGATGTTACCATCCCCCCTTTCAAAGCCATGGCACTGTGTTTGACTGCGGCCACGACAGCACATCTCCAGGGAGAACAGCAAAACACAGAGGCGGTCAGAAACCTGGGAACAAACAGCAGCTAAGCAACTCCGCCGCCGCAGCGGGTGACAAAAAAGGGGCACGGGAAATCCCAAGGGTTGCTTGGAGGGGTGACCGAGGAGATGAGGGTGATGAAGTAACGCACAGCATTGCAGGGCAGGGAGGCATTTATGACCTGACCAGGATAAAGGCTGTAGCTTGATCAGTGGCGGTGATGGAAGTCACGAGCCATGCGAGAAGGGTTTTGCCTTCTTGCTCCGTGCCCGTGTTGGAATTAATCACTTGCACACAAATGTCAACACTGCAGAAAATATCCTTTGGGATAATCTCTCTCGTAAAGCCGCTTAACATTTTAGTAATAAACAGTTCACTTCCAGGTGTCAAAGGATTGCAGCCTCTCTCATCTCTGTTCAAAGCATCTCCGTCTGCCGGCACCCAGCATTTCTTCCCCGCTCCAACCAAGCGTAGGAGCATGGATTTGCCTGCCTGGATCCTGCCCTCAAGCTGGTGGCACTGTGCCTTTATCTCCAGGCGTCTGCGATGGGTTCTGGCAAGAGACAAAGCAACACTGAGGCATGCCAAATCCCAGCCTCCGTTTTGCTGAATTTGGGCACCTTTAAGAATAGTGAGAGCACCTCTTTGCTGTTTCACACTTGGGCTTATAGGAAGCTTCAGGCAGTGAAGGTGGTCTCTCTCCTGCCTTCACGGAGATGAGGCAACAATTCCAGCAACACTGGGCCTCAGTTTACCTTCGTTACCTTACGTAACAAATTGTTTCTGGCTAAGCAATGGTGAGATGCGTGAAGCGTGTCTGCTTTTGTGTCACGCTTTGATTCAGATCCCAACGAGGTCAAAGAGTGATCAAGTGGGTTTCCTTTTGGATGGTACTCAACCAGAAGTGCTTCAGGAGATTATCTAATGTGCTCCAGCTGCTGATGGCTCAAAGCAAGTCCCCTGCTCCCCTGAAATTCATAAACGATCTCTATATGGCCCTCAGCAACAACGCCTTTGATCTTGTTTCCTCCTCTCATAGCACAGTGCTGCTTCCTAACGCAAACACAGCATAGCAACAACTCCTGCAAATCTCTTATTGATCTAAGGGGAGCTCACCACAGAGCTGCAACATCCAGTCCCAGCCCCATTCACTCATTGTTCAATCCTTTAGGCTGTTTCTGAGCAAGAGCACCCACTACAATTCGTATGGTGCTTGAAGTCACATCACTGCTGGGCTTACCATGTGCTGCAGTGCCCTGCTGGCTCCAGGTGCCCTTCTCCATCTGAACCATGTTCCCATCCAGTCCCTGCTGGGGGAACACCGCCTGCCACCATTTGCAGCCACTCAGAACATCCCTGACCCAACCCAGGCTGGTGTTGGGCTGCCCACATGAGTGCTGTTTGGGATGTGCTGCTGCAGCGAGGCAGTCCTCCAGACAGCCCCACCGAACGCTCGATTCAGGTAAAATCAATGGCGTAATTAGCCCACAGAGTCTGCCCAAAGGTCAAGAAGCAGCGATTTTTTCTTGCTGCAGCTTTTGTCACAAGGATTGCAAGCAAATGCACTTCAGCAGGTGGGTTATAAAAGTGTTATGACTGCTGGTATTAAGCTGACAGACTAATGTGACAAGTGCTTAACAAGGTCTCCTAAAATAGAGAGGTAAATGCTTTGCAGCGCTGGTTGCTCGGACAACTCCAACACGAACCGGTGACACCAACCACATGGACAGCAAAGCACAGGAGCAGCAGGGAGGAGGAAGAGGAGGATGGGAGGAAGAGGACAGGACCAGGTAGGGGAACCCTCCTCACCCCCAGTTCTATCCCTTGACCTCAAATTTGTCCTCCAGCTACTCCCCCCCTCCCCACTGCACAGCTCTGTGCTGCTCCCCGTGTGCCATCTGCAGTGAGAGAGGACACAGGAATGGCTCTGTGTGCATGGATCCATGTCTGCCCCTCCAATCCCGCAAGTGTTTGTACTCTACCAGCTGGACACACAGCACCCCACGGGCTCTCATTGCACCAGCACTCAGATCTCTCATTTTGAAGCCCAGCATCCCTATTCCCCCCCAGAGTGAAGGCAAACAGCCAGGATGCTGCCACGGTGGATTCAAGGTTTCAAGTCGAACAGCAGTCATTTAACCACTCTTTTAAAGTTCATATCATTTGAATGTCATATGTCAAACTGAGGCTACTTCCACTAAAGGCAAATAGATATTTATTCCCCTCTCAGCTGGCCAGCAGACTGATATTCATTATTGAAGGATTGCAGCTGCTGGGGATTGAAATTACCTGTAGGAGTGCATCGAGCAAAGCCTTCCACCTCTTTAAGGGTTATTCCCTGTAATACCAGCTCATGCATTTTAGCTCAGGCTCATTTTATAGCTG